TTATTATATAATATTTATAGACAATATCGCAATCGTATTTGATATTATATCGTATTAGTTGGTGGTCATCATTGGTACGTCGGTCGTCAACTACATTTTGACGTTCACATAAATAAACATCAAACGTCATTGTCATCATTGACAAGAGGTCAAATGGCAGTTTCTATGCCAAGTTCCACACTGTAAAATCATGTTTTTTCTTGGCTTTTACATTAAAAAATATTTAATATGATGAATAGGGGCATGTTTATTTACGATGATGATGATATATATATATGTCAACAAATTGATCAGTTGTAACTAATACTTTATAAATATTTCACTATTAAAATTCTAGACTACATTTGTAAGATAATACATACACATATATATGTAGGATCGTGTGAGAAAAAAAATTAAGACAAGAAGTGATCTGAACCCTTGATCACATTTAATCTCAAACTCACTCATTAATCAAGTTTGATACAAGAATTGATGTGGTACATTACGGTGTATCTCATCCTAACATGCATCTAATGGTGGAAATCATTTCTTACAATGCTCATTTTAACTTTTTTTCTCACTAGAACATAACATTATATATATATATATATATATATATATGTGTGTGTGTGTGTGTGTGTGTGTTAGAGCATTTTAAACAGACTCTAAAATATATAAAATGAAGATTTTCAAGATTCTTTTGTTACAACATTTTCAAAAAAAGTCATCTAAAATAGAGAAACATAAAAGAGAACATATTCATTTCTTTCTTTAAAAACACAAGGGTTGTGGTGTGGTGGTGGAGACCCAATAGGATGTGATGGAATATATCATATGTCCTGAATTTAATTCTAGAAGTTTACAACAATTGTGACCACTGAGTTTATCATAGTTGATGCTTGCAACCACAATTTATCATAACCAATATAGACATAGACTAGGACATCCTTCTAAAAAAATTCAAATCCCAAATTTTGAATCAATTTTTAAAATTTAATGCTATAAAATTGAATATTTTTTTAATTGTTTTCCATGAAAACATTAGTTTTTATCACGATGAAAGGTTTTTCCATCTCCTTGCCAGAAACAAAAAATGGCTAGCAAAAATCACGAGCCATATTCAGCTTTAAATGAAAAGGCTATTATTCATGATTTCTAGGATCAGACAAAGATGTGTTTAAATTAATCCGGACATTCGCAATTAACAAAAGAAAATGAAAAATAAACGAAAATGCCAAAATAGAGAAAATGGTTATAAATAACTCTTTTTTATAAAACGAATTTATAGAATCATTTACATGTAGTTGTTGGAAATGAATATTTTCTCAAAAAGTTTGATGGAAAATCATTTTATTAAAATTTTATTGGATATTATCATTTTATTATTTTTTTTGGGAAATTTACTATTTTATATAAAATGTGTTAAAATTTACTATTTTATTAAAATATTTTATAAAAAGTGTATTTTTTGAAAATACCATTTTATATAAAATTTGTTTAAAAGTTATTAGTTTAATTGCCATACAGTTTGTTGAGAATATTAAATATATCAAATAGTTAAATAACATAATTAATGTTAAAAAATTTAAAATAAAAAAAAACTATTAAATTAAGGAACACTATAAGCGTACTCGCGCAATGCAGCGAGATACATCGTGATTTTAATATTTTATTTTATTCTTTATCTCAGTCGATGTTATAATATGACTTTATGTGATTTTGAGAAAGCGATTGTGTTTTTATTTTTGAATAAAATATATGTTTGAAGATATCATAAAAAATTGACAAAAATATATCGATATTAGTATCAAATTAACTATTTGAAATTCCTCATTTTTTATGTAATTTTTTAATTTAATTTTTTATAATTTAATTTATGTACAATAACGAAATAATTTATATTTGGTTTAATAATATAAT